ACATAGATGGGACAAATTTGTCGGGCTCAAAGGATGGGCGACGAGGGTATAGCCGGTAGAGTCCGAGAGAATTGTAACTGGTCTGGAGCGTATCTCGCAAAGTCAACAGAACTCTCCGGATCCTAGATTGAGGCGGAACTGGACTTCGAGAAGGTAAAACTTCGATATTATCTGAGTAATTACTGTCCTCGTCAGGAAGAGGAGCATCATCGAAAAATCTAGGTATTTGCCTCAGCCTATGGTGCGAAGTTTCTTCTGGAGAGTGAAAAGTAGTTTGAGCAAATACGTTGTTCAACCATAATGAATCTGAGGCATACCTAAAGTGTCGGTATCCATTGCGTTGTCAACACTATCATCGGCATCAAAGTGAGGTTGCCGCTGCTCTGAGTGTTCAAGGCTCCCTGCGGTACCAGTAGAAATGCCATCCTGCGTCCGCCTGCTTGCTGGCTCGCACGAAAAAATGGGTTTGGGACGATGATCACGCCCCACATGAGGAGCAGGTAATATTGTTGTCTAGAATTGTGTAACAATTGAACTGTCCGATTCATGGAATTCGTAGAAAATCGATCACTTACTGAAGAACTGCCTGATTCACCTCGCCGTAGCATTCCAGATGATGACCATACCAGAGAAGCAGCTCTGGCGGCTGCTTTCATCCTTTCTTGTCGTTTTTGGCTGGCTAGGACTCTGGACCGGTGATAAAATTTGCATGACGTACGATGCCTGGTAAGCCCTCGACCACTGTCTGTTGCTTTCTCCCAGGAGCAGCCTGGAGCATTGCAAGATACCATTGCGATGGCTATTAGATTGACAATGAAGAGCAAAAGAACAAGCCATAGAACTTTCTTGCGCATTCGTCGGACCCTACTGAGTTAATTAGTAGTTAGAGTGACAGTTTGAGTTGGTAGTACTCGCGTCAACTTTGGACTGGCCAGCGCTTATTACATAAGCACACCTGTGACTCCAGCTAACCGCCGCTAGCTCTGGCTTCATGGCATGATCAGAACTCCGGTCAATATTATTGTTCGTTCTGGCTATCGAGCACCTGCGCCCCACAGGAGGTCAGTGAATACATTAAAGGACGCAGTGATGGCTCTTCGGCAACCGGCATGGCACCCACCTCGTCAAATTGACCAACCTGTTCTTAAGATCTTCAATTCGTTAACCAAGACCAAAGTGCGTGTCTGAACTGGGTGTTAGATCGATCTGCTGACTGCTGATATAGATAGACGGAATTTGTACCCATCGATGGTTCTCACGTCAAATGGTATAACTGCGGTCCCACAGTCTACGATGCCTCTCACATGGGTCACGCGAGGTCAGGGTTTACTCTCTGGTTGAATTTTGACATGGTTTCAGAAATTATGTCACGCAAGACATCTTGCGAAGAATAATGTCAGGCTGCTTTGGCTATGACGTGCACTTTGTTATGAATATTACCGACATAGACGATAAGGTGCGTGATCACCTAGCTGTATGATCAAAACGACGTCTTACACGCCCTGAAGATCATCATTAGAGCGCATCAAAATTATCTCTTTTCACAATTTAGAAACTCGGCAACTGCGCTTTCAGCCGATCTACTGTCACAAGTCAGTGAAGCATGGGGGGCGCCCCATCATCATATCATCCAGGGCTAAGGCTACCTTAGATCTATGTCTGCAATTGTACAAGCCAACCTCCCGCTCTTGAAGTGCCCATCTATGTATAGAGGTTTCGACTGATCCCTCCACCAGCCGCATTGCCGTATCCTTCGACCTATCTTCTTATAGCTGCCGCGCATGTTCATACTGCTGGCCATGATGTGGTCACTTTCGAGATGTTTTACGACGCTTTCCGTGAACAATACTGTGCTTTGTTGCAGGAGGAAGCATTGGAGTGTCCCGGTGTACCCGGGATCATAGGATCAGTGCTTGTTGTGCAGCGGCTATGTAGTATTCCCACTCGCATTGTATATACTAAATAGTTCGTCTATGAAATTGAAATGCTTTGCATGGCTATAGCTGCTGCTTGAGCGGCATGATTTTGAAAGTTACAAACTTGTGACCACCGTGAGGTACTATTAGTAATACTAGCAGTAGTAAACGTAAGACGCGCGAGGACCTGGCAGATGCTGTTATTGATGCTTCTCCTCCCAAGTGTGCCACTAGTACTAGTAGAGCCAGCACTCGACAGGACAATTATGGACTGGCGTCTCCGTTTCATACTTGTGCGCAGCCGCTCTCATCAGCAGTACATGCACAGTACAGTATACGCCACGATCCATTCCCTCCGAGTCACCTCAAAGTAAGTAGTATGTCGATTTGTTTCCCCTTCTAGTATACCAACCACGGTGGGAAAGTGACGGCTTGTTGTCAGTCACTAGCTTGATGTTGCAAATCCTTTGTTGTTCTTGGCTGAGGACTCAAGAAAATAAAATTGTGACATATACATATTTCAAACAGATAGCTATTTGTTGCACTTGTTTTGCCATCGGATCCATGACGAATTTAAAATGATCGCAAACATACACCACACAACAAGGAATAAATCTTCAACGTTGTCAACTCCTGAGATCTGTAATAGAGATTAGTATTACACGCATGCCAATCAGTGTGATAATCGCCTCACATCAACTATTGACAAATGAACTTGCTGTTGGGAGACTCCCTCTCTGAGTCCATGCCATCATTGATATCTTCCTCAGGTAGACCTAAGTTGCATGCCAGATCCTCAATGTGATCAAGCTGTACGTCAGATACAACGAACGACCTGATATCGCAGTTATATGCACCGATATTAAAGTCTATGTCGATATCAAGTTCTTGTGAGGTACGTCCGACCAAAAGCTGTTTGAAAGAGGAAGCTTCTGCATCACTACGAGCATATTCTAGAGCATCCTGCTCCAGCATTCTTTCAAGAAGCTTTGTGTGCTGCACTGATGACTCGATCTCCCAAGCCGTCGTCAGAACTCGCAAGCGCCTGGATTCGCGGGTGGCTTGCATTGCAACGACAGCTTGAGCGACAGCCTTGCTAGACATGCCTTCCAAGCCACGTTTGAATAGTTCTTTCCCCTAGGATAAATGGTCAATCATTGTGAAATTGTAGCATTGAAGGCTAACTTACCGCCTGGACATCAGTCAGAGTCATGTCAGTCTCGCTAGAGTATTTTCCGACGGACTTATGAAAAAAACGGAGCTCGATTGCATTAGGCCCATGGCCCTGTCTGTCATAAGGCTTGAACTGTCCTTTTGCACGTTGCACATAGTAAGACAGGTTTTTTGAGGGAGGGAGGCCTGGCAAGGTCAAAAGCTCATCTTCTGACGAATCATTTGTAACATCTGAGTCAGACAATGGTGATGATGGTCGGCGACTCCTGAAGCGTTTGGATGACGTTCTGAGTCTCATTGGAATATCACGACGATAATGTTGCCTCCCATGAAAAGCAGAGTCGTGGTCACTGGCCCGGGCCACGGTAGATGTCTGGATGCTAGAATCAGGCCAGAGATGACGGGACGACTCGAAGTCCTCATCCTGACGAGTAGGACTGAGTTGTCCGATAGAGCTTGGAGGAGGAGTAAGACAGGCGTGCATTTCTGATTCGCCAGCCTGAGAATGCCTCATAGTTAGTTGTTATCAATGAGTTGTTGGTGTGCGGCGTGTTGGAAGACTTTGAATGAAGGTTCGAAAGGCACACAGATTTCACTGTGAGACTGAAAACACTGGTATTACCTACACTTGCCATGATGTATTAATTTCCCTGGAAGGAGTTTGAACCCAGACGTTTCCTTGTAGAATTACTCGACTGTTTCATTGAGGAAACCTTGACTAAAATGGTAGGTCGGGGGGCTCATTGTAATGATAGACACGTGACATGCCGATATGGGTTGTTATCCTCGCCGTATTTGGGTAAGGCTTACAGGCCTGCTGTTGCACGCCCCGTAACCCATTAATGAATTCGAAAATTGAGCTTGACATCTACTAATAGTTCCAAGGGTTTAAGAATATAGAACTTAGAACTTCGTGTGCGCACCACTCGAAGGTCCCCGTCACATTCCAGACCAGGGACCACCAGCTCAGTTATTACATGAGTGAAAACCGAATGATGTGATGGCGTGAAAGTAAGGTTCAATCAAGAGTGACTCGGATTGGTTTGTTCAACAAAACCATTCTGGATTTGGGTAAGTCTTACTACGGCCACCATGATGCCGCATCAAGTCACTTGATTTCCGAATTCTAACTTCAAGTTTGTCACTGGCCCAGGAGTACTGCTAGTAGCTTAATCGCCATTGTGTCTGGCTCTTTGCGGTATTTCAGGTCTCTACTGGTGACTACTATACCACTGTGACAATCCTTACCGTCATATTTTGTAAATTTCAAGTCAGTGTTCAAAGTTGTCATTCCCGCTAGAACTAAGCGGCTCTCTATTGAAGAAGCAGTGGCTATTGAATGGTCGAAATTTATAATGTTTGATGATCGATTGTCGATAGCATATCATAGTAGTAAGTCACACATGTAATATGCCTCGCCGTTATCATTATCATCATTACGAGCATCTGACAGCAGTGAGTCCGGTGTAGGGATTCATTTCTGGTTGGGCTTGTAGAGACTGTTTTTACCTTACCTTATGTTGGCACTTTTGTAGCTTACATAATCAAGCAATCTTTTCACCAGTTACCAGTATGAGTCTGAGAGATCAGCAAGTTTTTATGATATTTCCTCTCCTCTGAGCCTTGAGCCTGGTCCAGAAACCCTTTAGGGTCGAATAGCAGCTAGGTTCTGCAAGACCCAACACATTGTTCAGACTCACCATCTGAATTGTTGTACCTTCACCGGCTAGCGATTCATATGCGACCGCGGCTGAAAGACACGCTGGCTGGGCATTATACCAGTAAGGGGCTCAACCAAGGAGTCACTAGTTTATCAGTAAGTACTAAAGTTAAATATCAAAGTTCAGTATTCGACCGCGGCACTTCAGCCTGACTCCGAACCACCGCCATTGTCCCTTGGCAAACATCATTATGATTCCTCCAGGCTCAGATCAAACTGCACGTCGCCAGGAGCTTGGTGATGATCATGATGTTAGCCATTGCAGCTTTCAGCCACCTCCAGACTCAAATGTCAAGATGTCCGAGTATGAATGGTCACAATGGTGGGATGAAATGATGAACCTGCCGCCAATGGCAGACTCTGGGTCAGGCTGGCCTGACTCAGATATGCGGCCTGCCGCCTCGCTGGACATCATAGCACCACTGTCCCATGAAAACGAGTCAAACCCGCACAACAGTTCAGCTCCTGCGCCAAGTCAGGTTCATCACACCCCCGCAGAGACCCCACTAGCCTTATCCTCCGAGGAAATTTTGGCCTTGGTCATGAGTTTCGGTGACTCGGACGCAACTGACAGTGCCCCAGAGGCTGGAGTCACGGCAGTCCCGCATCCATACACCCTTGAAGTCGCTGGCAGTGATGTTCACGCCCGCCTGTTGAATGTTCGCTTCGACCTGCCACTATCATTGGGTCAGGTTGACTCACCGCCGCCATCCCGAAGTCGATACACCCCCTACAAAATTATTGACAGGCCTGACATTCATCGTGGCAGGCATGGTCTTAGTGACGATGCCGAACATCATGCTGGCCCATCACGTCACAGCCTGATGCCAGGTGTACCACATCCTGCAGCACCATTGTCTACGACATCCGAGTCGTTGCCCCCAACTTCTGCGCTGTTCGGTCTTGAGAGCCTACCCAAGGTAAAATTGAAGGCCAAAAAGGGCATGAAACAGTCGATGCTCGACGATTCATTTCTACTTTCATCCAAGGAAAGATCAAAAAGGCGATTGCCAGTCTCACTGCTGTCGTAACGGCATTCAATGATCGTAAGTCTCACAATATTCATCGTAACCTGACAGCTGATATCGAGAACAGCTGAACTTACCTTGTGGTCCCGTGGGAGTGACACCAAAAAGCACGCAGAAAAAATTGGCGAGACTGCCAAGCACCTCAGGAAAAAGGTCAAGGATATAGTTCGGACGGCAGTCTTATTTGGCTACAATTTGGATGAAGCCTTGGCAACCCAAACACAAGAGGAGATAGAGCTTACCGTCAGCAACCTTCTGCAAGGTGACGCGTTCCTATACAGAGATATCAAGGTAAGTCCGGCATTATTCTCTCCTTCAGGCTACAATATGCTCATGGCTTTACGGTCAGGTGGGAGGAGAGACTATAGTCGGCGTGCCCTTTGCGAACAGAGTAGTGCGGCATTTTGCGCAGCACGTACTGTTCCATCAACTTGACCTCCAGGAATACGTCAACCCCAGCCGAGACCTTGGGGCATTATTTGCTTTCATCGGGACATTATTTGAGTGGGCGTTGAGGGAATTGTCTACTGGTGTTTTCATCCCCAGTGACTTTGACCTGTCCCGCGCCCGGGTGGCTTTCGACGAAAGGTTGAGTGGTCTCTACAAGTCAATGAGGGGCGATGTACGTAGCGTCCTAGTTGCAGGCATTTACACCCAAAGGGGGCAACCATCTTAGGGGAGTTACTCACTCTCAAGTGACGTTCATAGGGAAGTCTGGTATTGCTCGGACGAGCCGGTTCAATTAGTATGGTGCTAGTATCGCAAATGTACTATATACATGATAGTGTGCAAATATGACAATGATGCGAAGGGTATGCTTGATAGAGTAAAGTTTGAACACATGGACTCATACACTTGGGCCTGCACTGCACCCAGCCTCTATGTCCCATTTAAGATGTGAAGGGATGGGATTAGCAGGGCAAGTTACTTTTGTCATGGTTATTCCTATCATGATTATCAGGCTGCTCCTGTGTGACTCCTATTTGACAGCGGAAAACACCGGCTAAGAGCTAAACACCGGCTTACGCCGCAGTTTTCACTTATAAGGTGTGCCAAATCTAACAAGGAATCACCCCTTCAAAATCATGCCTCCCGTTGGTTTGTTACAGTACAACAGTGGCTGGCAGTCCCAGCCCTCCATACTTCCTGGACCATTCAAAGAACCATCTTCAGTGAATGTCAAGAGGCATTCAACACCTGCGATAAATGTTGCAAAAAGTCGAGCTACCACCGTTATTGTGGAGTCAACTACAAGCCTGGCAGCAACAAAGGAACCCCAGGCAACACCAGAAACGAAACAAGAAAATAATGAAGAATCAGTCATGCAAGATCCTGGTACGTCTGTTGCAAGTTCAAGACCATGTAATTTATGTTTAAGTTTTGCAGGTTTGCGCCAGCTGATTATCAGCAGAATTCGGAACGGTGGCGATGGGCCCGAAGTTGAGGTATGGGAAGCAGCGTGTTCCTTATCTTTCTCAGGCTGATTGCCGTGGTAGGTATTTTCCAACGTTACAGAAGATGATTATGTATATGTTTTGGATGCTATCGGATGTGACGATAAACTAATTCGCAAGTGAGTTTTTTTCTCCCTTTTCCAAATTTGAACTGATTCTGTGTTTTGCTTCAGACCGTCATACATCCCCAGCCTCCACCAAATTGTCGCCACCCTGCCATCCCCAATTCACGAGTCGATCCTTGTGCCTTTGCGCACTGCGATGGGGATCATCGTCGAGTCTCTCGACATCCCTGACAACTTCGAGGTCTCCTTACCCATCCACATGGGGCGTATGGTAGACGCCCCCGCTACCGCAGAACTTCCTTCTCCTCAGGATGAGACTCAGGGTTATCACCTCGGAGTACCGGACCTGGTGCTAATGTTCCAGACCCGTGATGACGACATCCGTCCCTTCTGGCCATTCGAGGTTTCCGTCTCCCAAACTGCTGAAGGTGCCATCGCGAAGTTGCAGAAGTTTGGCGATCGGAACGAGCACGTTTTGGCCGCCACTCACATCAACATCGCTGAATCCCGGAAGCACGCCTCACCGACATATGAGTGGGGTGTCGCGAAGAAGTTGAATCGGAGGGGAGTTCAGATGGGGGAGTTGACGCGGTCGGAAGATGGTGCATTAGCGTCGCACTCTCATACATGGTATCATCCCGCGACGGTCACCATCACCACTTGGATCCGTCCTCCTAACAGGCGATTGAACCTCAACTCTCGACATCGTGCTTACTGTGCGAGTGCCGTACGTGTCCCTTGGATTTTTCTAATACTAACGCTAAGCATTCGCACTATCAGGTACTTTATCCCAACCAGAACGAGCAGGCCCTCGCCAAAGTTCAAAACATATTCCAACGCACGCTGGAGCAAGTGCGCGATACCGTTGTTGACCACCTAGAGGCTGAGCACGCGGATGACGATACGCTCCTGTAAGCACTGCTATTTTACTGATGATCGTAAATTCATCAGTTCGATTGTTTCCAGCGACTCACTCCAAGCCATGAGGGACTGGTCTCCACCAAGGGAGCTGCTCGATTGGAACAAGTGCAGCAAGGACCTGCGGTCAGCGATGAAGCAGACCGGATTCAATCGGTACCGCGCATGGCACCGCAGCTTCCTTAAGCGTGTAGCCGATGAGGCCGAGGTCTCGGTGTAGAGAATTATGCCTCTCATGGCGTGATATGGTGCTTTACACTAGGAAGTACATAGCACGAACTTGTAGCGTCACTCTGTGCACTACCCACAGCTATCTCTATATGACGCGCAGCTTTCCCGCGCAACGCGCGCCATGCGCGCACCATTCCCGCGCTTCGCGATGTATACGCGCGCGCGCGTTCCCGCGCTTGCGCGCCCTATGGCGCCAGCCATCCAGAAGCATCCATCCACTGTCCACCAAGCTCCCTAGTGCGTATATTTCCATTTCCTTTATTAGCATAGTTCCACCTTTATTTTTATCATGCATTCTCACTCATATATATATTTACATACCTACTCGGTAGCGCTTCAGCTCCGCTTGACCGCGCTTAGGCGCGCTATATAAGCGCCAGCAGTACATACCTTTCGAACCTTACTTTTCCCTTGAACTTACTAGTTATCACCCACTATTTACTTAGCAGTACATAGTAGAAGTCTATTGGTCTACACTTTGCATCTATCTTTTCTTATATTGCTTTATATCATCACTTAAGCTTAGTCTCTTTTATTTCCGCTTACGCGCGCGCGCTTTCCCGCGCTTCGCGCTAATACGCGCGCGCGTTCCCGCGCCTTCGTACCTTGCGCGCACTTGCGCTTTCTCACGCTTCGCTGAAGCGCGTACCTCTAGATCTTCGCAGCACTCGCTTCCCCTAGGGTCGAACGCACTTGTCTCCTCAAGAATAGCAGACTAGGTAACGCGCGACCTCACAACATTTTATAGATACAGTTAGGAGCATCCTTGTTCCTCATTGTATTGTTGTTTCTACAACTGGAGCCCACCGCGAGGGGAGCAGTCAGCAAGATCTAGTTTTGCGCATCTTCGCACTTCACGCTATTTAACACATAAAGGTCAATCTCTTTACATATTCAAAAGCTAACCAATTTTTAGTTACGCATTTTCGCGCCTTGCGCGCGCGCTTTCCCACGCCTCTGCGCCTCACGCGCGCACCTGTGATACGCCTCGCGCGCGCCTGCGCTTTTTCACGCTGCAATGCCTTATAGAATGCCCATCCGCGGCACAGCAAACGCGCCCAAGTTCGATGGCACTACAGACAACCTCGCCGAGTTTATTGACACCTATGAGCAGCTTGCTGATGAAGCAGGACTCCAAGGACTCGACCGCATCAAAGGTATTATCCGCTACCTTGAGCACGACGATCGAGAACTATGGGGCGGAATGCCCGAGGCGCAAGTAAGCGATTACGACGCCTTCTTAGATGAGGTGAAGGTAATGTATCCTGGATGGGACGGTAAAAGGCGCTACGCGCTCGCAGACTTGCGCGCCATCGCGCGCGAATACGCTAACAAACCAATGCCCTCTTGCACAGAACTCAGCAATTACCTGCGCGCATTCAGGAAGATTATGCAGCCACTCATGGATGAAGACCGTATTGGAAAGGCCGAACGCGACCGCTTATTCATGGAAGGAATCCCTAGCGATGCTCAGGCGCAAATCCGCTTGCGCCTTATGATCAAGTTCCCCGACCACCACCCATACGACCCATACCCATTCATGGACGTCTTCGCAGCTGCGCAGTTCCTATTACCTGCGCGCGCTTTTCCCGCGCCAAGCGCACCAGTAAGCGCACCAGTTAGCGCGCCTGTGGTAGCGCCAAGCACAACAGCGCAAGCTAAAGTGGCTAAGTGCAAAGATCGCCATCACACGAACCATGCAACCCAGGATACGACCATTAGCGCTAATGCAACAGCTGGACTCTTCTATCGCGCACCCTCAGATGTTGTACTTGACAGAAAGCCACCAGTTCCTATTCACGTGCCTCGCGCGCGCGCCTTTCCCGCGCCTACGCGCGATTCACGCGCACCTCAAGCATCAACTGCGCCAGCATGCAAAGCTATATCAGACTGCATTACTTTAGATCACGAACTCGAACGCGCGCTCGCAAAGCGCGCTGCAGGCGCCTCTTCACTATCATCCTCAGCAGCATCATCTCCTTCACAATCCGCATCATCTCCATCACCATCAATCGCATCAGAAGTCAGGGATGACTCTAATCATCTATTGCACACTAACGCGCCAGTTGAAACACGCGCGCCTATCGCTATCGCATCGCGCGCGCCTATCGCTATCACCTCGCCAGCAGTCAGGGATGACTCTAATCATCTATTGCACACTAATGCACCGCTAGAAACACGCGCGCCTATCACTCTCGCATCGCTCAAGGAAGAAACCTCGCCAATCGCACCATTGCCATCACCGCTATCACCATCCACATCATCAGAGGTCAGGGATGACCCTAAACATCTATCGCGCCTTGGCGCGCCTATAGAGGAGCCTTCTGCCGCATCAGAGGCTCAAGTCGCACCTTGCATCAACCAGAGTTTGTCTCTGGAAATTCCAGATGTCACTCGCGATCACGCGCATGTCGCGCTTTTTGCTTCCAGTGACTATCGCGCACCGGTAAAACATCCGTGCATCACGCTGCACAACCACCAAGCAGAGCATGTCTCAGGCGACCCTGGCGCAACTCAGGCGCACCATATTGCGCCTGAGGACGCGCAATGCGCGTGCCTAGAGGCACGGTATATTTTTCCTCATCTTGTTTCGCGTTTTTTGTCTCTTTCATGTTTAAAGCTCTTAAGGAGCTATATGACGCTTCCAAACACTTTAGGTTCATCTTCGCACCACCCCTTGTTCACGCGCCATGATTACGCGCATCGCGCAATACGCGCGCGCATTCCCGCGCCTTGCGCATTCATAATTCAAGCAGAGTCTTCGCACTATCGCGTTTCTATCACTTCTCCCCTTTTAAATCACAATTCTTTCATTCAACACAAAATATATTCTAATCAGACATCCAGGCGCGACATAGGCGCGCGCCTGACACATACATATGCGCCTAACCCCCCTATCATCACCTTTAACTTTGCAATCTCCACATTTATTCGCATTCTTCGTACTTTTGCTTACCATGTCAATTTTGTTCCTGCGCGCCTTGATGAGCACTATTCTCCTTCACCTATGCGCCTACTGCGCCTTGATATACCACCCTTACAGCCCATTCACGCAACATTTGCGCCTAATTCTTCACTATACATGTCTCTCGCTAATGCATTTGCAGAGAAATGGCCGTTCCTCGCGTGTTCGGCCAATATAATTAAATTCGCGCGAAATTGCGCCAAGGCGCGCACATCGCGCGCATCCTATCAGCTTGTAGGGCGCCTCTACACCCCTTGCTGCGCCTCCCATTGGCGCGCCTTCAACCTGCAGCGCGTTGTGCAGGAATTCATTCTGCCAGTTACAAGCCCCCCCAAGCGCGCCAACTGCCTCGCGCATTCCAACCCTACCTTGGGTCAAGCGTTAGCTCGCAAGAGACGCGAAGCGCGCTAGCCACGCGCACTCGCACGCGCTCAAGGAGGAGGATCAAGCGCCTCAGCCGCGCATCAAAGGAGGAACATATACCAACACTGTTTCATAGGATATTGTTTGTTTTACCCTGGGTTTCGTCCAGTGCTCTTTCATTTCATTTTCTCTCATTATAACACTGTCCAAAAGACTAATAACACACTGATATATGCATATAGGAATCACCTAGAAGAAAAACAACCATAGATCGTGCCCGCCTAGCTCAATAGTATATTTCCTCTTCGCACGCATGACGCGGCACCATGCTCCTTTTCACCTTAGAACGCGCACATATGCGCGCAGTCTTCCCACGCTCACGCGCATATACGCGCACATACGCTTCACGCGCGCGCGTGCGCGCTTCCCGCGCCTTTCTCATAGGAAGGTGTAGATGTTGACAGCTGCACGAAGAAGACAAGTCGGATAGGACATCCGCAAAGTTTACCATTTTCCCTTCATATTTTCACTTATAGTTTTACTCATGCTGTTCAAACCTTTAGCAACTAATATTTAGCACGCCTAGTAGGACTTGGTTTGGACATGGATTGGATTGCTCCTGGACTGCGCCACTTCGCGCCATCCCCACAGAATACAACACATGCGACACTCATGCGCGTCCTCGCGCACTTTCCCGCGCTATATGGATATGCGCGCATCTCGCCCACGCTTTGCGCGCCACATCCATATCACCCTTGCATCATCGCCCCACACCCATGGCACATTAATCACATCAGAGTCACCCTTGCAATCCACCATGCTACGCTTCATTCCCGCGCCTTCACGCATAGCGCGCGCGCATTCTCGCGCCTCGCGCGTAACATGCACGCAACTTCCCGCGCTTCACACATACCATTCTTATGATCATGCATTCATCGCCCAACAACCAAAGCATCGTACATGCATCGCACATGCATACTATCACGCGAAACCCTCACCACACACGCACTGAGTGGGGACACTCAGAATTTAAGTCCCTGGGAGATGTAGAGAATTATGCCTCTCATGGCGTGATATGGTGCTTTACACTAGGAAGTACATAGCACGAACTTGTAGCGTCACTCTGTGCACTACCCACAGCTATCTCTATATGACGCGCAGCTTTCCCGCGCAACGCGCGCCATGCGCGCACCATTCCCGCGCTTCGCGATGTATACGCGCGCGCGCGTTCCCGCGCTTGCGCGCCCTATGGCGCCAGCCATCCAGAAGCATCCATCCACTGTCCACCAAGCTCCCTAGTGCGTATATTTCCATTTCCTTTATTAGCATAGTTCCACCTTTATTTTTATCATGCATTCTCACTCATATATATATTTACATACCTACTCGGTAGCGCTTCAGCTCCGCTTGACCGCGCTTAGGCGCGCTATATAAGCGCCAGCAGTACATACCTTTCGAACCTTACTTTTCCCTTGAACTTACTAGTTATCACCCACTATTTACTTAGCAGTACATAGTAGAAGTCTATTGGTCTACACTTTGCATCTATCTTTTCTTATATTGCTTTATATCATCACTTAAGCTTAGTCTCTTTTATTTCCGCTTACGCGCGCGCGCTTTCCCGCGCTTCGCGCTAATACGCGCGCGCGTTCCCGCGCCTTCGT